GGAGTAAAGGGAAGATGGTGAAGGATAACTAACACTAAAGACCTTTGAAAAGGCCATATGGAAACCTACTACTGTTTTATATATATATAGTTTAAATTGAGTTAATAAATATTCCATAAAGAATGAAAAGCATGAATTAATAAAAGACTAAAATAAGTCTCATTATTCCCTTTCTCCCTTGAATCTAGTCAAGACATCAAATCATTCCACTCTTTCTCTTGCTTCAGGTTTTGCTCCTGTGTACCCTGACAGAATTAAGTATCTCCTACTTCTCTCTTTTCCATAGTGCTCCTGCTGCTTTTGTCATCTTTTCTCCTCTATGGCTACTCTAATAATAGACTAACTATTGAGCAGACTGCTTCCTTGGCATTCAGAAAGCAGGCTCCATGCCTATGGCCAATTGATTTGTTTTTAATGTACCTATTATTATGAATTGCCTTCTGGCTCAAACTGAAATCAAGCTATGTCCAATGTATTTTCCCTTCCATACTTCCACTTTGGCCATCAGAAGGTGTCAGCATTCAAGATTATTTCCCAGTAATGTGGATTCCCATCAGTACTCTTCTTGATTTTTCACAGTAAAACCAAAGTCTTTTTCCTACCTTTGGATTTGATGCTGTTGTTCTTGCTGATACTTAGTAGTAGCACACCCAGGCTCCTCTTCACAATCAATCCTACTTGGCTCTTAGACCCAAAGTAGTGCAGCATTATCAGAACTCTTAAGTTACTCTCATAAAGATGAACAAAGAAGAGCGAAGGAGGGAAGCCATACACTTACCTTCTTGAGAATATTCTCAATGTATCATCCATTCTCAAGTACTTAGCAAGATGACTTAGATACAGGGTACAGAGATGATGTGAATGGCCCATTAAGTTCCACTTTAGCCAAAACATTCTGTTGTAAAATAGGAAATCCTTAAGGCAAGGATGTATCTTTAACCTAAAAAGGAGTGTCTTTGACCTAAAATAGAAACCTTGAGCAACAGAAGGGGCTTTTGGAGGCCATCTAGTCTAGGGAATCTCAAAACATCAATCTGTATACCCATGATATTCTGACATTTTACCAATTGACATATGAGAAAAATGTTGTCAGCTGACTTCTTTTAAGAAAGGCTTTCATCAGTAAAAAGACCATGTTCTTTATACATTTCTATATTTTGACATTAAAATATCGTTTCATTAATACCATGTTAGTGATAATACACATCCTCATGTGACATTAAAACTTGGTATTATTTGGGGACCCTAAACTTTGGAGACAGATTCTAATAGTCTTTGAGATCTAAATTTGCAGGATTCATTGTTTAATTTAGTGGTTTCCATACCTGGCAGTGCATCAGTATTACTAGGGACCTTGAAAAAACTATGCATTTCTAGGCTCTTCTCTTAGATATTCTGATTCTGCATTGTTGAGTACAAGGAAGCATAAGAAAAAATACTTTTACAAAACCCTCCAAGTGATTCTAATGCTCAACTGAGGTGAGGGAACACCACTCCATTTTACCGCCTATTATGATGAATACAGGACATAAATATTTGGAATGACTCCACTGTTGGCTTGTCTCTGTTAAGCACAGATGGAAAGTACATTGTCTTGCTTGCAACAAAATTGGAAACCTTCACTGAAGCTTTCCAATGCCCATGGTTAGACAAAGCTAATAAAGGGCTGCAGGGACCATTGGTCACTTACTCATTTTGAACATGAACAAAGCTGATGATTCTACAGATAGTAACTGTTCTTCAAGGACCTGTTACTCTTGATATTTGTTGATGCATCTGATGCCTGTTTTCTTTACTGCTAATCTTTTCAAGCCACTTCCTATACTGTAACCACAGTTTGCTATCCAAGGTGCAGCTGTGATGTTACTCTCTGACTCAAAAATCTTTATTGGCATTTTTATTGTGTTAGCTTTCTATACATATGACAAAACATCTGAAGAGAATAAACTTTTAAGGAGATAAGGGTTGTTTCAGCTCACAGTTTCAGAGGTTATAGTCTATTGTCATGTAGTCCCAACACTGTTGGACCTCTGTCAGTATAGTAATCATGGTATGAGAACATGGCAGGGAAGATGCTTACCTCATGGCATCCAGAAAGCAGAGGGGCAGGAAGGGGCCAAGATCTCATTATTCACTTCAAGGACATCCTCTTAGTGATCTAACTTCCTACCACGAGGCACCACCTCTCAAAGGGTCCACTACTTCTCAATAGTGCCACAGGCTGGCAACTTGATCTTTAACTCATGAGCATTTACAGGACACTTATTCAAACCATAGCATTTGTGTTTTGTGTATCCAAAATAAGTTTATACCTCTGAGCATGGCATTTAATAATTCTGTGAAGTATATCTTAACTTTATTTTGCAGACAAACTGACACCCAGAAAGGGAAAATAAATTGCTTAAGACCACACAAGCTGGAATGGTTGAACCCACGTCTCCTTATACCAGTACTCTAGCCATTATAGTGTTTATACCTTTGAAAGAGTGGAGAAATGGTATGCACTGCAGGTATTGCTAGAATGATGGGACAGTGGTTACATAATCCTGTATCCTGGGTGGGGCACATACTTTGAAATTTACACAAATGAGCAAAGATACCTTTTCTACCTCTTACTGGCTTTGTAAACTGAAACAACTGACTTTACCTCTTGAATCCTGTTTCCTCATTACTATGATGATTATGTACGTAAAAGGCCTAGTATGGTTCTAGACCCACAAGAGATTCTCAATGAGTGTCACCACCCCCTCCATCACTGTATTCCCATTCTAGTGATCTAAAGGCCCATTTAAACTAAGAGAGAAGTAGAATTTAGACACCAGGGATCAAGATGAGGTGTAGAACTCTGGGGTTTACTCAGTTCTGGGATTGGAAATAACCCTTTTCGGGTCTCAACCAGGTTCTTTGCAAGTGGATACTAAGGCTAGAACTCCCCTGGCAGAACACTTGGCCATGTGTCAGGTGAGCCCTCTGACTGAAAAGTAATCCTTAAGCCCCAGTATTCCTAGTGTCTATGATTTGTCATTCCTCGTGGCTGAAGCATTGTGGATTTTTATTAAAATGCAAGTGTTCCCTGGGAGAAGCATCATACATATTAACTTTTTGGCCTGATTAACTTTCACATCCCTCTTTCTATGAATAGAGTCTTTCTGTATCTCTCTGCTTTGGGCTCAGGGCATGCTTTAAGACATGAGACCACCCCCATGCCACCTGTCATATCCTACTCAATATTCAAGGCCCATGTTGTTCATCACCTTCCCCAGAACCCTAATGCCATAGCATGGCTGGGTCTTGTTTCTTCTCCACCCCAGGAACAAGTTCTAGACTCCTGAGCTGAAGAATAGGGAGCACAAGGCTTTTCTACGAAGAGTCTTGTCTTGAATTTTTGTTTGTATTTGACTTGGCCATGACCTTAGGTAATAAATGATTGACCTAAGTTGAGATTCAGTTTGGGGGCCTGCAAGAAGCAGGCAATAATTCTTGCCTCCTGGGACGTGCTTTATTCATTTGCACAATGCTTACTCTGCTGACTGATGTGGCCCTGTTATTTGTGAATTTGGCTGACTCCTTTCATGGAATCAAACCTCAGGACACCTCTATCTTGCAACCCAGTTCTGTCTATCCTCAGGTGCTTAAAGACTGTGTTCACTGGCAGCAGACTTAGTGAAAACCCTGCAGCCCTGGGCTGCATTTCCACCAGTTATGCAGTCTTTCACCTGGCAGGAGGGTTAATAAGATGCAGGGTAAAGAGAGCTTGGAGCTCACCCTCCTGCTAGTGCATACGTAGACCCTTAAGGCGAGGCAGAGTTTCTCAGAATCGCCAGGCGAGTGAGGGTTGAGCTGGGCACCTTCATGCACCCACAAGACAGCGCACCCCCCCCCCAGCTTTTCTCTTTTCAGGACCCGTGCACAGGGCTGGGGCCTGGGACCTTAGTCTGGGACATTCAATGGAACTCCTGGGTCTGTGCCCCAAGCGTGGGCGGAAGAAGGAGGTGGGCCCTGGGAAGACATCTATCCGCTTGCAGCTCTGTGAAGTCCCAAGCTTGCGAAAAGCAACGGCCCAGGCCCAAGGGACCCGCCTGGCTGGGATGTCAGGGACCGAGCAGCCCTTGACCGAACTGGCAACTCGACCTGGACCGGCTCCGAACTCCGGGACAGAAAGCCAGAAGGAGCCAGAAATGAGCTCCAGCTCCTGCCAGGGCCTGGGCCCGGCCCCCTCTGGTGCCACTGCACCTCCCTCCTTTCCTGGCCCAGCCCCTGGCCCAGACTCTGCCCTGACCGGGCGCAGACCCGGCCCTCTGTGGCTCCTCTGGGCTCCAGGTTGGCGCAAACAAAGCCCTGATTGACTGCCCGGAGGGGCGGGCCTCGCTGTAGGGCCGCCTCCTCCCCTCAGTCCCGCCAGGGATTTGCCCGGAAGGGCCGGGTTAAGGGGAGACTCTGGGGGTGCGCCTGTCAGTAGGGGGGCCGAGTCCCGGGCATAAGAAGATTGTGCCACCCTCTGTCCGAAGCCCAGGCTGTTACCTCCAGGTCACACACCCCCCTCAAGCCCAAGTGGGGACACAAGGACTCCCGAGGACAGGGTGGGGTCCGTTGCGGACTAGCTCTTGTCTTGGGGTTCTCAGGGCCAGTCCGGCTGCAGGCTGCTTGTAAGCAAGGAGGGTGTGGGCGTGAAGCACCCGCAGGGTCTTCCTTGGACACTAGGGGTTGATCCTTGTGGGTTCTGGGACCTGCGGGGAGGAAAAGGTAGGGTAACAGGATAGTTTCTACTCTTTTTGCTCATTTAATTCTTCTGGGCATCAGAACAAGAATAGGGTTCCGTAGTTTGGAAGGGGAGTTTTTTTGGGGGGCGGGGGACAGCGGCGGCGAGGGTAGGTAGGCGGTAAGAGGAGGAGGAAGGGCTGGGGAGAAGAGCGAGGTAGCGGCTGCCTGTTGAGGAAGAGGTGGGAGGGAGGAGGAGGGGGGAGGAGAGAGAGATGACGTGGGGAGAGGAGGAGGGGGGTTAGACGGGGGAGGAGGAGGAGAGGGCTCGAGGGACCGTCTGTCGCGGGACGGGCTGGCCAGCTTGAGTGCAGAGCTGGGAGGCGGAGGCAGAGGCAGGGGCGGCAGCAGCAGCAGTATCAGAAACAAGTACCAGCCACACAGCGGCTCCTCCAGCTCCAGCAAGCCACAGTCCCCTGGCCGCGATGGCGCTGCCAAACGTGGCGAGCGAGGAAGCCAAGGGGCCCTGGCAGGAGGCAGGCCAGGAACAGCAGGAGTCGGTGGGTAGTCCGGAGCCAGAACCCCAGCCAGAGCCTGAGCCCGAGCCGGTGCCAGTGCCCCCGCCGGAGCCTCAGCCTGAGCCCCAGCCCCAGCCCCTACCGGACCCTGCACCCCTGCCAGAGCTGGGGTTTGAGCCCGAGCCAGTGCAGGAACCCGAGCCCACGCCCACAGTGGAGACCCGAGGCACCGCGCGTGGCTTCCAGCCTCCCGAAGGTGGCTTCGGCTGGATAGTGGTGTTTGCAGCCACCTGGTGCAACGGCTCCATCTTCGGCATCCATAACTCTGTCGGGATCCTCTACTCCATGCTGCTAGAGGAGGAAAAAGAGAAAAATCGCCAAGTGGAGTTCCAAGCAGGTGAGTGGCCCCACGCGCCCCACCTGGCATGCTAGGCAAGGGAGTCTGCTCCCACTGCCACAAGCGCATACCTCCTGCTCTGCCGCGCCCCTTTAAAGAGCCTTTCACTCCTCCTCTGACTCGGTGCTAGGGCAGGCTACGGGGCTCTGGGCAGCCTCAGCAGTAGAGACCTGGACTCAAGCCGTCCCAAGGGTGGGAACTGGGACCTTCATTGATTACTGGCAATCAACGAACTTTTTCCCTGGGACAAACCCAGACTCACCTTTTGGATTTGTTTAAAGTACTTTGCCCATGTGTGCTTGGGAAAATATTTGCAAGATTTAGGGGGAGGGAGGACGAAGTCTTGAAAAGAGGACAGAGTTGGAAAGCTGGGCGGGCACTGAGAGAAAAGCTCTTGAACGGAGGGTCTCTGCAGCAGCCCCTACTGCTTTGGGAGAGTAGGGGTGTTTTCTGTCAAAACCACTTCAGGAATCCTGGCGACTGACTCTTCGTTCAGGTTGAAACACATGGCAGGCGTGTGCGTCTTCAGGAGAGAAAAGGAGGGAATAGTGGAGTAGGGGTGTGCGCGAGTCTCTTCCTGCCCGTGGTTACTGCCCAGCCAGGCCCGGCGGTCTCCTGCCTCTCGAGGGGAGCAAGTGGCTCGATATGCCCCGAGGGCCGAGCCTCAAAGGCTGCAGGGACTTGGTCTCTGCCAGAGAGGTGAGCGGCGGGCAGGCTGGGCCTTGTGGCTCACTCCGCAGTGCCCAAAACTTCAGCTGCGTTCTGCATGCTCTGTGCCTCTGTTATCCACTGAGTGCCTCTTTCCTCCTGAAGCCGGGATGAAGGTCCTGCCACTCCTGCTTTGCCTTGGGGCCGACTTAGTCTTCCCCAAGACTGGACCAGGTTGAGGGAATAGCCCTTTTGCCAGAGGTGTGACTGCAAGACCTTAGGTGTGCAGACTCCGGCCTTCCAGTGATCTCAGGATAGGCTTTACAGGAGAAGCCACTCAGTTCTGTATCAGAAGAGGTCTCTGAACCCAGTCGGGGGCTTGTTCTATGCCTTCATGTAGGTCCGCTTTCCTCACTGTGTGTCAGGATAGCTGTAAGCATGCATACCACCTCCCCAAGTTCACTTGGGAAAAGTGGGGAACACAGTGTTTCCCTGGAGCTGAGGGTTTCTCTCTTGCCAACCCCAAAAGAGGGGACTTTGGAATTATTAAGTGAAATAGGAACCTTGAATTCTGGGATGCCCACTTGTGGATTCTGTTTGAAAAAGTCTCTCCCAAGGACATGTGCTTTTAGTTTGCAGTTTTGCTGGAGTGCCTGGCAGAAGGGGCTTTGAGGCCCTTGTACTTCAGACCTTGTGACCCATTGGCACAGCTGCAGTGTACAGGCCCCACCGTGAAGAAATCTCGAGTGTGCTCAGTGGCTGTAAAAGGCAGTCTCTTACAGCAACCTTGGCCACCTGACACTGGAGCAGAGGGGTCCCTGGTCTCCATGGAACAATTTCTGGGTGGAAGGCTGCTTCTATACTCCTCTCTGGGACCACCTTTTTCCTGCTTTGATGCAGCTCAGGGGCTCTTGGGAAGGCAGTCAGGCTAGGGCCTCAGGTTGTTGCCTAGGTTACTTGAGGGGGGGGCACCTGCTGAGAGTTTCCCTGTGGTTGAAGGCAGGCTAGTGGCCTTCAGGGTCAGTGGCAAAATTTAAGTGAAACTTAAAGGGAACCAGTGGAGGCTGAACTGAAGCTAGGCCCTGACATTTATGTGACGTGATGCAGGCCCTAGAGCTGGAGCCTTAGGAGCTATAAAACTTGGAAAAACTACTATTTTACCAGGAAGAGGTTCACTGCTGGGGAACAGACTTCAAAGCAGGTGATCACAGGGGACTCAGGGGGAGGGCTGGCTGGGACTTTCCGGTCAATACCTTACAGTGCAGCTGGAGGGGGTGGTGGTTCTGTGGTCTATGCAGAGGTGTGGCTTGTACGTATAAGAGCACATACCAGGTCCACTGAAGAGCTGACTTAAATTATGGAGAGTATAGGTCAGGAAGCTACTGAAAGGAATTTGGAATGTCCCCAGGGTCACAGGATACTTTGGCTTGGGTCCTTGTTGTGATGTATCTTGATTTCACCAGTTAATTTTGATACTAAGCCTCTCAGGAATACCTCGGTTTTTGTTTCGGAAATCGGTAACACCCAACTACATTCTGTATCCTACAGAAAATCTCATCCTCAGCACTACTTTTCTTGAGACCCTCAGCTTTCAGCCACTGTTTATTGATTTTTCTTTTTTCTTTTTTCTTTTTTTTTTTTTGGTCTTTTTGAGACAGGGTCTCCCTGTAACCCCAGCTGTCCTGGAACTCACTATGTAGACCAGGCTGGCCTTGAGCTCACAGAGATCCACCTGCCTCTGCCTCCCGAGTGCTGGGATTAAAGGCGTGGGCCACCATGCCTGGCTTGATTTATTTGTCTTTTAAGCAGGGTCTTGTATGTAGCCCTGGGTGGCCTAGAATTTGCTATGTACCCCACATTAGCTTCACACTTGTGTCAATCTCCTGCCTCAACCTCCCAAGTGCTGGGATTATAGTCCTATGTGTCAGTGCCACCATGCTTGGCCCAAGCCACCATTTGGATCTTGAGATTCCAAATGTTTTTGCCTATACACATTTTCTTCAGGTTACATAAAATTTCCTGGCAACCTGTGCCACAGTCCTGGAGTATCAAACAGATGGGAAAAGCTTAGTAGTTTGCTACTACCTTTATCAGTCAGTATTTGCCAACAACCATTCTGGGGGCACAATCAAGGAGGTTGGCTGAATTGTCCATTTCAATTAATGTCTGATATGACAACCATGTCTAAAATCTATTACCTTAATATTTGGAGCTATCCCACTATCCAAATTCTTTTTGGTTAGGCCTAATATTGTTATGGCCATATGCTTTGTGAATTGGATTAAGGAGTCCAAGGTTCTGCAGATGTCAAAGTCCCAGAGAAAGGTAGTTTTCATGGTTGAGGGATAACTCCACATTAGAGGGTCTCTGGCATAGGAAAAAGGCACAGGCAGAAGGGACGTGGAATTCAGGCCATCCTATAGCAGGTAAAGCACAGTCCTTCTGGATTCTATGACATCACAGTTCTGGTGTGGCACCAGCTGTATATTTTGTGTCCTCTCTTCACCTGGGTTGAGGTAAGTGAACTTTCCATGGGTCCTACGCCTGGGACAACTGACAGATGAAAAGTTCCTTAAGGGAAGCAAATGACCAAGGTCTGGTTTAGAGCAAAAACAGGGGGAAAGATCAAGAGAGAAGTGAACATACACTTTTGCAGAAATTATGGGAAATTGGGAGCCCTTCAGTCCAGAAAAAAGATCAAACAGGACAGGAGGCATTCAGGCAATTTTGAGAGAAATATAGACCAAGCATAGTTTCTTTGGACAATAGAGGAGTCTTATGGGAAAGAGAAGCAAGGTGCAATTGGTTCAACCTTGACTTCCAGTCTAGCACTAAGCCATACATGAAGAGTGGCATTTTTATTGTGAAGTTTATAAGCATAGCCCTTGGAAACTCCTGAGGAGGGAGGGTGTGCTAGGGTTCTCACTCCTTAAAAATGGGCTATGGTAAGGAAGTACAAAATGGTTCAGGCTGATTGCCCACCCTGATGGAAGCAGAACTTTTTAGGCAGGAGGAAGAATGGTTGGTCTACACTGATTTTAGGTGAATCAAGAATTCCAAAGATGGGGGCTGAGGAAATGGCTCAGTGTTTAAGAGCACTGACTGTTCTTTCAGAGGACCCAGGTTTTGTACCCAGCACCCATGTGGTAGCTAACAACCATCTATAACTTCAGTTCCAGAGGATCCAATGCCCTTCTTCTGGCTTCCATGGGCATTGCACAACATGGGTGCACTTACACACATCCAGGCAAAACACTCATATAAATTAATTAATTAAAAAATAAAATAAAATAAAATTTTAAAGAGTTCCAAAGATAGTTGGAAGTAGGAAAGATAGGGAAGTAGGAGGGTCTTTCTTCTCTCCCTCTTAGGGTTTTTCACTGCTTGGTTCAGTGTCTCACTGGGTTTACCAGTAAATTGCTGACTTTTGGATTAAGGTACCTTTTAAGTAAATCTGTCATTATCCTCACTTTGACTGAAGGCTTTTGCCTACTGTCCTTCAGAGTAAGATCATGTTGGCTCAGAGGTGGCTGTGGAGCTTCAGGCCACAGGGTCATTGAATGGGCATCTTTCAAGTCATTTCTCTGCCTCGTCTCGAGTAAAAGTGAATCCCAGTCTGTGACCTTGGTTCATGCTGCAACAAATGAGGATGAGAGGCTAGAGCACTGGGAAGGTGCTTGTTGGAGATGGGAGCTGGGTAAGTCTGGAGCCTTGGTTTGCTGCCCAGTGGGCTCAAGTGCTCATTATAAACAACTCTTCCTCTTCCTCCCCTTCCTCCTCCTCCTTTTCTTCCTCCTCCTCTTTCTCCTCCTTTTCCCCTCCTATTAGTGTTGAGGAGTGAAGCTCAGTCTAAATCTAAAAAGAAACATTTGTTACAAGCTGGGTGTGGTGGGGCACACCTTTAATCCCAGCACTCGGGAGGCAGGGGCAGGCAGATCTCTGTGAGTTCAAGGCCAGCCTGGTCTACATAATGAGTTCCAGGCCAGCTAGGGCTACAGAGAGACCCTGTCTCAAAAGACAAAAAGAAAAGAAAGACATTTATTACAAGTTTTCCTCATCCTTCATATTCTCCCTTATTCTGCATACCACCTACTATTAGGTGGTAATGTTATTGGGAAGACAGTTTCTGCTATTCCAGACCTCTTGCTTTAGGGGTGACAGAGGATTAGGTGGCATATAACCACCTGCTCCTAAGGTGGGTGCTATGACTGCTAATATGAAATCATTTGGCATCTACTTCAGGGTGGAGAATGTGGCCTGTTTGGTTGCCTTGAAGACATGTAACTTCTTCATCCAGGCAGTCTTGCCCACCCCTATCCTCTACTTTTCACATTTCTAGGGTCAATGAGAGA